CGGACCGCTCTCTGAAGCCTCTGGGGCCGCTGTCCTTCCACAGGCTGTTGAAGGACATGGAGGCCAAGAAAGACAACGTGGCCTTCGAAATTAAAGAGTCTCTGATGGAGGTAGGAACGTGTCAGCAGCTCCAGCAGTACTGAGGTCCAGTGGCCTTTCTATTCCAGAACAATTCAGAGTTCAGAGTTCATAAGCTGGTCTGGTACCGGACTGAAACTAAAAGCAGAAGATGCTAAATGGCAACTTCTGAAGATGATGAGCATAGATCTGGGAGACACGAGGAGAAGAACTACTCCACAGTAATCAGCTTGCTCTGTTAGCGTCTTCTATCCTACGGTTCAAACACCCCCCCTTCTCCCTGCAGATGATCTAACGCTCTGTTATCAAGTTTGGGGTTCACCATTAACTTCCACGTCTTTTATAAAACATTTTGGTCTGTTTAGACTAAAAAAAGTGAAAGCCAAAAAGTTAACTTCTAATGGTTCATAAAGGACAATAGAGACATGGGTATTTAATCTGCAAATAAGCAAAATTAGGCGTTACCTCGACCACTAGATGGCAGCAACGTGCTTCCCGTGTGAGGCTTGGCATTTCTACAACCCAGAGTATCTGTGTGTCTGTCTGTCATAAAGCAGTCTGTTACTCCTTCCCCAGGTGGAGAACTTCCTGGCCTCCAGAGAGGAGCAGGAGAAACCAGAACTGGACTGGAAGCGTAAAGTCACCTTCAGAGGCAGAAAGCCAGCTCCGGAAGTGGCTATAAGCATAGATATCCATGGCTATAAGAACCTTTTGCTGCTTGCGCTGCATCCAAACACCGGACCCCATCTTTGGAATTAGGTGCATCTGCAGAGTCGATAAGAGCAAGCTGGCAGACATTTTTACCATCACTGTCTGCTGCCCTGATGTGACGGGGTCAATATTTTTGATGTTCTTCTCATCATTTTTTTTTCTCCTGTGTGTGGTTTTTATGTTAACATTTTTGGTCTCTGATTCAGACCCGTTAGTCCATATAATTGTGCTCGAAATGAGGGGCAGTTCTAATGCATAGATTTTCTCATGTTGCTGGGTGGAATGTTTTGTTATTTTTATGAGTTTTTTTTATGTACATCTTAACAACTCTCCATTATTACAGTAAGATCTTTAAATAAACATTTTGGTCATAAAAAAAAAAAAAAAAGGACTGGTTTAGAGGGAAGCTGTTTTGTGTAGTTTTGCCACAATGTGTTTAATGTTTTGTAGAATACATCCTTTTTTTCCGCTTGTTTTTAAAATAAACTTGTTTATGAGTATTTGTTTTCGTGACACCCTTTGATCAAAAGGAGGGAGTGTTCTTGTTTAATATGAGGCTTATTAATAAAAATATCCTCATTTTTTTTAAGAATTAATTGCTAATTCATTCGAGGCCAAACTTTACTGCTCTTTTGATCTTTTTTTTTTTTGGCTTTTGAAATTTGATCCATAGGGTTTAGTAATAAATATTATTTCATTTTAAATTTCTATTGTTGAAAAATACAAATTTAATTCAAAAATACTTCATTTATCCCAAAGGGAGATTAAATAAATGAATGCAAAGGGCCAATAGGATCTCTATGGATGTATACAATTAGGGTTGTTTCAATACTCTCCTGAATAATCAAAGATTTTATCCACATTTCACTTCATATTTAGTGTAGAATTCTCAAAAAACTTCTTATAAAATATATATAAAACATTCTTGGAGCTTTTTTGAATCGAATTATTTCATTCCTTGCCGGGGGGGGGGGGGGGGGGGGGCAGTTGTCTTAAAAGACAACTGTCTTAAAAGACAACTGCTCACTACACTGGAAAAAAATCTAAATCTAGATAAGTAATTTTTTTCTTAAAATAAGTGCATTTGTTCTTGAACTGAGAAATTAAAAGGGAGCTGTTGCCAATGATACAAGACAATTTACATTTAAAATAACAAAACGCAATTGTATCGTCTTACTTTAAGTGCATTTTATCTAAATATCTTATTTTAAGAGTAAAAATACTCATTCTATTCCATCTCATTAACCTACTCAAAATAAGGGTAAATACAATTAATTTAAGAAATTTCTACTTATTTCTAGACCATTTTCCCAGTGTACCATTCCCTCCTACCTAAGTCATCTTTAGCAGATGGCCCTTGCTGGGTTTCCTAAAGCTTTTATCCACATAGTTGAAGCTTTCGTCACAAAGTTCCTTATATTTTAATAAATGTGGTTTTTTTTATGCAATTCTACAAGTACAATGAAGACCTGCCGGTCCAAAGGTAAGACAATAGCAGAACTTCTCTTCTGGATAAGTACAATAAAACAACTTTATTAAACAATTGATCCAGTGCAAAGTGGCACCATGCAGGATAAAAGGCTACATTGGTAAAAAAAAAAAACATGATTATGTCGATTTTGTTACTTATGGCTGTATTAAGGGTTATGTCTGCTCTGCAAAGGTAGTGGGCTTTTAAATTCTATTTATATAGGGGGGCCAAACCTGAACATTAATTGTTGCATTACCCCGGTTGTAACAATAAAAGTGAAGTACATATGTTTATAATGACATAAAGGTTTTAAACGTTCATATAAACAAGATCATTGGGTTTTCTTATGGTATTTAAACATTACTTTGGTATAAATGTGGGTTGAATTGATTTGTGCAGATGTACTAAAATTGGAAAGGTACGGAAGAGGATTAGGGCCACTGAAAAAATAAAAAAACGTAACTGATTTCTAGATTTTATTTCAGTTTAATATGATTAACGTCACAATTCTGACTTTAATCCCAGAATTCTGACTAAATTCTAACAGCTAACAAACATGTTAGCAAGAAGCCGTAGCCATCTGTTTTAGAGACTAGCTCTCTTGTTTTAATCACCTTCTGCTCCTCCATTAATGAAACAGCATCACCAGGGACCCCTTGGGCACGTAAAAAGTTGCCTAATTCTGTCATTTTCCACCAATGTCTTACTGACCCTCCCAAACAACTCACATCTTTGTCAGTGAAGCTGAGTGCTCCCACATCTCTTCCTTCATGTTGCCCATCTACATTTAGATGTAAAATTCTGAGATTAGTCAGAATTCTGAGAAAAAAAACCTAATCCAATTTAATCTCAGAATTCTGAAATTAAAGTCAGAAATTAAAGTCCGAATTCTGAGAAAAAAGTCTGAATTCTGAGATTAAAGTTCTTTTCCCATATTAACCTGAAATACACTATATTGCCAAAAGTATTTGCTCACCCATCCAAATGATTGGAATCAGGTGTTCCAATCACTTCCATGGCCACAGGTGTATAAATTCAAGCACCTAGGCATGCAGACTGTTTTTACAAACATTTGTGAAAGAATGGGTCGCTCTCAGGAGCTCAGTGAATTCCAGCGTGGAACTGTGATAGGATGCCACCTGTGCAACAAATCCAGTCGTGAAATTTCCTCGCTCCTAAATATTCCACAGTCAACTGTCAGCTGTATTATAAGAAAATGGAAGTGTTTGGGAACGACAGCAACTCAGCCACGAAGAGGTAGGCCACGTAAACTGACGGAGCGGGGTCAGCGGATGCTGACGCGCATAGTGCGAAGAGGTCGCCAACTTTCTGCAGAGTCAATCACTACAGACCTCCAAACTTCATGTGGCCTTCAGATTAGCTCAAGAACAGTGCGCAGAGAGCTTCATGGAATGGGTTTCCATGGTCGAGCAGCTGCATCCAAGCCATACATCACCAAGTGCAATGCAAAGCGTCGGATGCGGTGGTGTAAAGCACGCCGCCACTGGACTCTAGAGCAGTGGAGACGCGTTCTCTGGAGTGACGAATCGCGCTTCTCCATCTGGCAATCTGATGGACGGGTCTGGGTTTGGCGGTTGCCAGGAGAACGGTACTTGTCTGACTGCATTGTGCCAAGTGTAAAGTTTGGTTGAGGGGGGATTATGGTGTGAGGTTGTTTTTCAGGAGCTGGGCTTGGCCCCTTAGTTCCAGTGAAAGGAACTCTGAATGCTTCAGCATACCAAGACATTTTGGACAATTCCATGCTCCCAACTTTGTGGGAACAGTTTGGAGCTGGCCCCTTCCTCTTCCAACATGACTGTGCACCAGTGCACAAAGCAAGGTCCATAAAGACATGGATGACAGAGTCTGGTGTGGATGAACTTGACTGGCCTGCACAGAGTCCTGACCTCAACCCGATAGAACACCTTTGGGATGAATTAGAGCGGAGACTGAGAGCCAGGCCTTCTCGTCCAACATCAGTGTGCGACCTCACAAATGCGCTTCTGGAAGAATGGTCAAAAATTCCCATAAACACACTCCTAAACCTTGTGGACAGCCTTCCCAGAAGAGTTGAAGCTGTTCTAGCTGCAAAGGGTGGACCGACGTCATATTGAACCCTATGGATTAGGAACGGGATGTCACTTAAGCTCATATGTGAGTCAAGGCAGGTGAGCAAATACTTTTGGCAATATAGTGTAATTCCAAAATCTGTTTTTTTTTTCAGTGGCCCTAATCCTTTTCCGTAGAAAGGACATTTAAAATATGAATGATAAAAATGTTGCTGCAGTATTCACATTTAACAGCATTTTTTTTTTTAAAGAATACATAATAAAAATGATCAGTATTATAGCTGAAATACAACCACAGGAGAAGACCTGACCTCCTTATTAAAACTGTGATTGCCCTGTATTAAAATGAAGCAATGTTATCTGCAGGTAGTGTTGCAACATGATAGAGGTGTTTATGACTGGCGCACATCTCAGCGTCAGAGACAGTCAGAGAGCGCCTTGTTTGCTCAACCTTCATCAGGAAGAAGCGGCAGCCATAGATATCCATAATAAAGGCTTTATTATGGATAATAACGTCCAGGCACCACCTGGTCAGAAATAATAAATAATAATAACAATAAATTGGAATCCAACTATAAAACAGGCCTTTATCGTAAATATTGGGCGTAAATTGGACAGTGTGTTACTTTCCACCTGAGGTACTAAAAGAACATGGATTTTCCTGGCCGGAACCTTTAAGCTTTACAAAGTTGAACACGTATTTGTTTATTAGTGACACACGTCCTCCCGTCCGTCTGCAGGCAGCTTCTTTAATCAGTATAAGGCTTAAAACCAAAGAAAGTCTCCCTGCGTTGCTTCATTTGATCTCCGCGCTCATCGCCGGTGAGTTTATCGCTGATTTTACTGCAGGAGAAGCAAGTCTAAGGGCAAGCTAACATTAGCTTAGCCGACCAAAGAAGCTAACATATAATATTAATGCTCTCTTTGTTGGGACCGTTAGATACATTAGCCTGCCAGCGTCGACATCGGTTGTCGGTTTAAAGTAGTGATGGGTTACAGAGGCATTTTGAAACATTGCTAAACTGTATTTATACTGCGTTGATTCTGTCTCACAGAATACTGACACCTGCTGGACATTTACAGACACTACAGGCAGCTTATTGGACAGACTGAACAGTTTTGATAACCTATTGCAATAATATAATTTAAGTTATATTGTATTATTTCATATCTATGTTTAAATTGAAAATATTTAATATTTTAAGATGTAGCCAATAAATAATGACAACATATATCATAACGTGAAAATTAGGGGAAAATGAACATGTGGACTAGGATTGTAAATCCTATTTTTACAACGATAAGTACAGTAAATAAACTAAATGTCCATTTTAAATTAACTTTAATTCAGATAAGTTGAGTGATAAATGAGAGGAAAAGCAGGGCTCGATGTTAACCATTGCCCGCAAAAAAATTATTTATCACTCAAAATTACTCTAAAATCACCGACATTAGCTGAAAACGACCCAGCCGGCGCCATTTTTGTTGTTTTGTACACATTCTCGCGTGATTTGAAAAAGACGCGTGATTTGAAAAAGCTGCGAGATTTTCCGTCAGATGGCGTGATTTTTGTCAACCTAGCGGTAATTTTGATGTAGTTACCAAAACGAGAAACAAGCTAGAAAGCGCTATCATATGGCAGTCTTCTGTACAGTGATCCAGGTCATATATTAAAAAATTTTCATTATTTTTTCTCTCTCAGACATTGGAGAGCTGCATTTAAATGTTATATAGCTAAACATGTTAAATTGGTGACCTGTTATGTTATTATTATTGTCTTGTTGCTGCATTTATTTTGTCAGGGAAAACTAATCCGGATTCAGTTAAAAGTCAGGGAATTCTGAAATCATGTAAGACTGTGGAAACCCTGAATAAAATAACTGTATAATGATTCTCTAGAAAAGTCACATTATATTAAAAGTATTATCTTGTATAAACATACTGTGACTCTAAAATAAGTTATTCATTTGTGACATTGACTTCTATCTTGTGATTTATCTTAAGTTTTAAACCTGTCAAGTTTTTTTTTTTTAGATTTTTAACATTACAATTTGTATTTTTCCAAGCACACAACAGTTTAAAGCAAAGTTTAGTTTGATAGAATGTGCAGGAAGGATTGAAAGGCATGTTAACACGGTAATGTAGGCTTGAGTTCATTATCTGAGGCATGTATACACACACCAGGAACCTGTAAACTTAAAAAATACTGAATTACAAAAAACATTGAAAAAACAAACATGTTTCATTGATATATATACAAAAATGAATATTAGGAACTATATTCATCAAACATTATACTGGGCAAGTAAAAATTGTTTCTGGGCAAATAAAATGTGAAAGTCCTAAACGTCAACCCCTGAAAAGGATTACACAACGAGGTCCCCGGACCTTTGCTGGGTGATGATTTTTCTTTATTCGAACCCCGCTGATTTTTAATTGGTTACCGTATTTTCACGACTGTGTCCCATTTCTGTATTTAACACACACATAAGGCGCACCGGACTATAGGGCGCGTTTTTTATATACAGGTACATGTCCTCTACTGCGTATTTAAAAATACAGCGGGGGCAAAACTGAGTATGACTGTGCTTTATTCATGTATTTATTACAAAGTATTAATCAAACCTGGCAGCTGGCCGTGAGACAGACACATCGCAGATGACACAGCGCTGTGATTACTCCTAAATTAACTTAAATCCTGAAACCTGCCGACGGAATTTGTTCGCTTTTATTACCGGTATCCTGGTGCCTGCAGTTTAAATTATTTAGATGAAAAACACCTGCCAGCAGCCGCGGTGAACCTGGAGGCTGCCCAGCCTACAGGCTGCTGATGAAGGGATTTCTGCTGTCGGTGTACCGCTGGTATGTGGGGGTCTGAGCGCCTCCGACAGAAATAGATAATCTGGATGAACTGACTGCAATTATTAAGTTTTCAGGTGGACTTTCTCACTTAAAAACATATTAAAACTACTTTATTCCCACTGATCACAGCAAATATAGCTGCAAGATTTAGATTATTTAGATGAAAAAACACCTGCCAGCCACCGCGGTGAAGAGGAGGAGACCCGCCCAGAGGCTGCTGTTGAATTAAGTTTTCAGGTAGAAAAATAGAGCGGCAGCAAAACTGAGTATGTTTGTGCTTTATTCATGTATTTATTACAAAGTATTAATCAAACCCATCAAATTCATCATCCTCTGTTTCTGAATAAAACAGCTGCGCTAAATCAGACATGCCAGTTTCCCCTTCTTCGCTGTCAGAGTCACTTTCCGTGCCGGGCGGCTCCTCAGAAATAATGCCGGCTTTTGCAAAAGCTTGTACAACAGAGCCAGCAGACACTTTAGTCCAAGCATCAACAATCCATCCGCAAACGGTGGCATAACTTGCCCAGCGCTGCCTTCCACTTATCCTGAAACTGTGGTCTCCGTCTGTCATCCATCGCTCCCACGCCGCTCGCAGCCTTACTTTAAACGGCCGCTTCACACCGATGTCGAGCGGTTGAAGTTCCTTTGTCAGACCCCCGGGATAACGGCGAGCACAGCGTTCATTTGATTCACCATGTTTTTCTCATCAGCTGTGAGATGGGCACGCATGGAGTTACATATTAACAGCGATGGTGATGCGTGGAAAAAATAAACACCTGGTCTCCTTACATTCAGCCACTCTTTCATCATCTCCTCAATGAGGTGGTCTCAAAAGTCGCAGTTACAACACACATAGGGCGCACCGCACCAAAGGGCGCACCGCACATTTTGAGGGAAAAAAAAGACGTTTAAGTGCGCCTTATAGTCGTGAAAATACGGTAATCCTGCTCTATGCCCTAAACACTAGGCCGCCCCTCCCCTCTATGCCCCATCAGATTCAGAGTTTCCTCATTTTTTCTTTCCTAGGTTGGGTTAAAGCGTTATAATGGAGCCGGCCTGCCGTAAGGACAAACCAAAGCTAAACTCGACCCCGACCAGAGGAGACCGAGCCAAGCAGAAGTCTGCACAACAGGAGCTCAAACAGCGACAGAGAGCAGAGGTATTATACAGCCCCCCCCTTTTGCAACGGTGTTTCAGTCGTTTGGTTTTTAATTCCTGATTGTCTCTGTCTCGTCTTCAGATATATGCTTTGAACAAGGTGATGACAGAGTTGGAGCAGCAGCAGTTTGAGGCCTTTTGCAAACAGATGCAGTCCCAAGGAGAGTAATGGCAGCTTTACTTCCTCCTCCTACGTGAGGCGTGTTGTTCCACCCAACCGGCACAATCTTTGGACTTGAACTGTTACGGACATAAACTGGCTGCTGGGACACTAATGATGCTTTTCTTCAGGTGCTGATTCTGTATTTCTGATATTTTATTGCTCCATTCCTTCCATATTTCCTTCCCAGTTCATAGGGAAACCGGTTTGTATTTATTGCCGAGCCATTATTTATTTAGTTTTTCTTTTTCCTTGGGTCATTCTGGGGAATTCTTATGATAAATACATTTTCTTTAATCGACTCTTAGCAGAATGCCTTTGACTCAGTCAGGTTGGATAAAACAAGCATCAATCAAAGCAATGTTTAAGTCTTGCCATAGATTCTTAACCTAAAAAAGGTCCAGACTTTGACTAGGCCCTTTGAAGACTTGAATAAACATATTCTTATTGTTTCACAGTTGAAAGGTGGTATTCGCTTCTTCTTAAAGGAGAAGTCCGGTCAGCAAGGAATAATCGATGGATCTTTATCTATACCTAAAAGGAATACGTTTGCCGAATTTAGCGTTTATCAGTAAAAAAATGAAAACAATTTTGGTTGATATTTGCTATTATTTTATATTTCATTGGTGATCTAAAGTAGCGGAAAGCAGAAAACAATCATTGTCAGTCTTGAACGAAAGTACTGCATTCTAAGACTGAGCTCTGCTGATTAACAAGATGGCAAATAGTCTCCACTTATTCTTGTTCTTTTTATTAAGATCTGAGGACAGGAAGGACAAATGGAACATCTTAAAAAATGACTTTCATAGAGATTTTAGACAAATAAAACAGTTATTCTTCTTGTAGGAATTGAACAGTTGTTGACACCAATTTAAAAGTAGTGTAGCTTAATCTGGCTAACTGACCAAGCTAAAAGAGGCTAACCTGTTAGCTAGTGAGCACAGCTAGCCACAGTGCTACCCAGCTCTCCCCATTTATATCATGGTCTAACAGTTACTTTCAGAGATGGGAAGTAACGAAGTACAAATACTTCGTTACTGTACTCAAGTAGATTTTTCTGATATTTTTACTTTACTTTACTACTTATTTTTATGGCGACTTTTTACTTCTACTCCTTACATTTTTACACAAATATCTGTACTTTCTACTCCTTACATTTTAAAAAATTGGCTCGTTACTTTAGTTTTGAATCATTTCAATGGAGTTACCGTTATTATTTTTCACGTCATCAATACCAAATTCAATCTAATTGGATGGGAATCTACGTTGCATTTGACGCACCACTACAAGATGAATCGACAGATTCGGCGGTATTCATTCGCGGCAAATCATTGCAGCTTGGTGGCGGTGGTGTTAGCATAGTAGCATGGACGACGAGATGATTGAAAATGAACACAACGGAGATCTAGTCCTATTGGCAGACATCCATTTAAAATGTAGGCAACGGCATGAAAAAAGTGGTTTCTACTTTTACTTTTATACTTTAAGTAAATTTACAAGCCTGTACTTTGTTACTTTTACTTGAGTAAAGAAGTTTAATCAGTACTTCCACTTTTACCAGAGTATTTTTTAACACAAGTATCTGTACTTTTACTCAAGTACGGAAAGTGAGTACTTTTGCCATCTCTGGTTACTTTGTTCCTCTCATCCTCCGCGGACGGGTTGGTCGTTGGATCGCCAACTTGAAGAGGGAGGATTTGCCATCAAACTTCTGGCCAGAGAAAAAACCCGTAATATGTAGCCAACATTTGGAAGAAGAATGTTTTCAAGAAGACTTGGATAATAGCGCGTTGTGACAAACACCAGATACAGCACTGGGACTTGATCAACAGCCGATACCGCACCGTGACGTCACAAACCAGTAGGTGGCAGTAGTGTTCTTTGACAAACATGGATGCCTCCAGTAAAGCACATTCAAAAGAAAATTACTTAATTAAAATCACTTATTCATTTAACAGTTTGTAATATGTTCATATTTAAAGTACTTCAGAAGTTTGAATTCTGCATATGACTGGACTTCTCCTTTTAAACAAGTGTTTTTTCCTTCCTCTGAGCAGGTTAGGGGGACATTTTCTCAATCAGATCAAATGATTTATGTTATAAAAAAATAAATAAATAAACATCTTATTTCAAGTAGATATCCAATTATCTGTTTAAAGGGCAAAAAATAAGATAAGTAGATCTAGTGCTCTTGAAATAAGGTCAATGAGGTTTTTTTTCTTATTTTAAAAGTTAATTATCTTATTCCATTGGCTTAAAGCCAGAGAAAATAAACTAGTTTCAAGAAAAAATTACTTAATATTTCAATTATTGCAGTGCAGATATTGATGAACTATATTAATGAGGTTTAAAGGATTAAATGAGTGCCTTATGCATTTTTTGAAACAAAAACTTTTACAGTGTTTTGAGTACAATCTACCCTGTTGACAAAGATACACTGCGAAACAATCTAGAAATAAGTCAAAATGTCTTAAAAATTAAGTGTATTTACCCTTAATTTGAGTAGGTAAATAATATTCCTTACCTCCTCAATTCAAGAAAAAAAGTAGGAAATCAGTCAGATAAAAGTGGTTCCAGAATGATTCATTTACAAAACCATGAAAAACCCAGAGCTACACATTTACAAACACAGTGATGCAAGTTTAAAGACTGAGATTTCCAAATTAAAATTCAGTTATTGATTACTCTCCGGACTGTTACTAAACTGCATTGTTGTGATGACAGATGACTGTTCTTTTTTTTGCATTTACTTCCTTAATGTAATGCCTAAATTAAACTGTTTTATTGTGTGTTGTGCAAACCAGCTTGGACCTGATTTTGAGCTGAACAGTAGAAGCATTAAATAATGACCTTATACCAAATACCTTCCGTAATTATAAAATTAATAATATCATTATTAGAACATTTATCATGAGTTTGTTGAACCACATATAGTTAAAACATGCAGCACCTTATCAAAGGTTACAGAAACGTTGCAGTATTGTATGAATTAAAACATTTTACACCATTAGGTGGTTTGTCTATCATTTAAAATCTTCTAATTCATGTGGCTCTAACCAGAAAATGTGCAACAGGTTAATGCTACACAACCAAAAAACACATCAATATTTTCATTGTTGTGAGCGATAGTTCAGTTTATTTTCCATGATTAGTGGACAAGCTATGGATTAAGGTTTGGATCAATGCAGCGCTGTCACAGCAGCCGTTAAGAGTCCTAAAGTTTTAAACAGGTCCTCCTTTTTTTTCCAAACACATCATTTTACTTAATTGTCGTCGCTTCTTTCCGTTCTCCATTCCGGCTCTTTCTCTACTTTAGGCCTGGAGAGTCACAGAGCTCCCAGTGACCCGAACTCCGTACCACCCATTCCAGAAACTGGTGTCATTTCCTCCATGTTCGAATGAGATGAAACGCATTCCCGGGCCGTAGTCAGAAAATGTATGACTAACCTGGAGTAAAAAAAAAAAAAAAAAAAACTCCAGAAATATGTTCATATTATTCAGATATAGAAAAAAGGTTAGAAGCTGCTGACCTGTTTCCATGAGCAGTCTGCCTCCGGGTCCAGAGTCTCTGGCCCGTGGTTATACTCCTGCAGCACCTCTTGGTTCTCATCCAGCAGACAGGCGGTCATCTGATAGGTGCAGCCGCAGTCGGTCCTGCCGCAGAACCTGTAGGATGACATCAGTATAATCTGCAGTACATCTCACTGCTTCTATGGCAGGCTGTTTTAAACGTAATTTTTTTCCTCCAGCTTTTTATTGTCATTACACTGTCAGAAGTACAGAGCAACGAAATTCACTCCCTGCATTTAACCCATTCCCTTGGGGAGCAGGGGGCTGCCATTGTGCGGCGCCCAGGGAGCAGTGTTTGGGTTAAAGGAATAGTACACCCAAAACATGATTAGCCTTCATTTTCTACTCACCCCCATGCTGAACAACACCCTGGAGTACTTTTTTGATATCTCAAATGCATCTGGAGATCTGGGAGGCTTCTTGCTGTCTGCTGACATTCAAATAATGGAGGTCTATGGTGCCCGAGACTAACCTGACAACAGCCAGATGCATGTCTCGCTCCGCCCAGCTCCACTCACATACATCTGGGAACCCGCTCATTGAAAGTGATTTCCCCAACCGAATTTATGGTCTGTCCAATCAGAACGCAGGGTGGGTGTGTCCTGGAGTGGAGAAGCGACCGTGAGATTCCAACAACAATGGCGGCTCGCATTGAGGAAGCAAGCGTTAGCATTGATGCTGCTATTTCTTCTGTGTTGTCCAATCTATCTGATATTGTTTCATTAAAAGAACATCAGAGAACGGCTTTGAAGGCTTTTGTTGGTGGAAACGATGTTGTCGCCCTTCTCCCGACCGGATTTGGCAAGAGCTTGATCTACCAAATGGCTCCTCCTCTCACAGCGTCACGGGTTGGCTTCGGTGTGAGTGGTTGAAATAGCACGTCAATAAAGATGACAGACAAGTGGCTTATCCAATCATATTCAAGGAGTTTTGATAAGGCCCAGCCTTCAGTAAAGGCAATAAGGCTCGGGCACATGACGTCACACGTTGCGCGGCAGCCATATTGATAGCTGGTCAGCCCACTGTTTACACTTTGACTTCGCGCCTGTAAGGACGAGCTTTCTTCTGCTAGTAGTTTGCTTAGTTTTTTGCCGTTTCATTTTACCTCTGCTGTCGTTATGGTCGCCCGTTGCTGTGTCGTAGGGTGTAGTAGCGCAAGCTGTGACTGGACGGGGAAAAAAATCCCAAATGGATTGTCTTTTTACCGTTTTCCAACCTGGAGGCGTCTCAATGGAAAACAAATGTCCTCCATAACAAAGAGTCGCCGGCTAGCATGGGTCGCTGCTGTAAGACGGCCAAATATAACTTTCAACTCAATCCCTGCGTCCATGAGAGAGTGTTCCCGGCATTTTCATTCTGGTAAGTTACAGAACATACTGTTTTTATTCATGTATCATTTCAAGTTAACCGTTGTTGGCTGATCTGTAGCATGAGCTGAAGTAGGGTTGTGTTCCAGAGGGTTAGCCAGGTCCACTGAAACACAAAAAAGGTTGTCCTACTCTGTTTATTTTGTCATTAATAGTTTATAATAGGGTTAATAGTTTTGGTTGTTTCACCAGGAAAGCCAGTAGATACATTTTTGATGTTTTACGTTAGTGCCAGCACCTAGTCTTATCACCACAACAAACACCACACCATGTTGAGACGGTAGCTTACCTTGGCTCTGATGACTGTGTTCTCATTCGGCTTGATAACTTCCATGTCATGAACTTTTCCATCTGTCAGCTGTTTGTAAGCCTCTAGCGACTTGTAGCAGCGAAACTCTTCATGTGTGTAGGCACTGATGCCACACACTAGATACGAAAATACGTCCTCCCTTGCAAACGGCGGTAGAAATTCTTCCCCAACGCACCACTCCTTGCTTTCTACTTCGTAGAGATCAAGTCCGTTTATGAAGCCCATCTTTTGCAGATAACGGTCCCTGGCTTCCCTCTGCAGTGTGTCTCGGTATATTCCGCATCCTTTCTTCGCTTTTAACATCGCTGTTTACTCGTCTTTCTGCTCTGTCTCTATGCTGTTTTAGGTCTTTGTTTACCGTAGCAACTAGCTACCAATATGGCGGCGTACCCAGAATGCAACGCGCTGTGCCCGAGCCTTATTCCTATGGCGGGTTCCCAGATGTATGTGAATGGAGCTACGCGGAGCGAGACATGCATCTGGCTGTTGTCCACAAAAAACGTGTCAATATTCCTCCATACTGCTCGTCCAATGTATTCCAAGTGTCCTGAGTGGGTAGCATCCAGAATTTACTCGAAACGAAGTCATTTAGAATGTTTTTAGAGCATAAACAGTAGTGTATAGAATTTCCTGAAAGCGCGCACCTGCGCGTTCACGACGCTACGGAAGCCGGCAGACCAAACCAGATGAAAGTGCGCATTCAGCGTCTGCTCTGCCGATAATGCAAGCGTAGAAGAAGAAATGTGCCGTTTACCTGTGCAAAGAAAGAAACAACGAAAGAAAAATGTCTGAGGACTTCAGTGTTGGGGAAGAGCATGAGTTCTTTGCTGAGCTGAATGCGCACTTTCGGAGAAAAGGCTAGAGAATGGGGGGAAAATGCAAATTTGAACCAAAGTGGCAGGAAAACGAGGAACTCGGGACATGGCTGCAGCCTGTCCATGGTGAAGGATTTTGCCGTGTGAATATATATATATATATATATAAATAAATCCTTTAGTTAAACTAGTAAATGTTATAACTGCCTGCCATATTATAGCCTGGCCGTCGGCTTGGTCTTACCAGTCTTCCACTGTGACAGGAGGCTGAGCGTCCAGCTGATCTGGGCTGTAACCCTCCTCTAACAGGTCAATCACCTGTCTCTTTAGGCAAAGTCTTGGAAATGCAGTAAAAAGATTGTTAGCATTTAGCTATACTATAGCATTGAAAGCATGAGAGGTTTAACTTATTAAAGATGCCCCCATCAATAGCTCCAAACAAAGGAAGGCAGGAATGCAGGCCACTTAATGTTAGCATAGCAGGGTTTATAACCACTCACTCAAAAGAAGTTACAAAATATTTTGTGACTTCCTCATTGTAGAAGTCATGGCCGCAGTCTCCTGGCATGTCCTCCACTTTCCACAGGTTCCCGCCATTTTCTGTCAGCTCCCAGGAATCCAGCTGCTCTAAGGAGGGAAAGCCAGTGTAAAAATAGCTAAATTAGCACGACATCCGGAGTGCATTTACGTCCATTATTGTTGAAACTATAGAACATGTTTTGTAAACGGAAACTTAACAGAAATGCAATCTGTAAATTATGCTTTAAAAAACATTTATTTTTCTCATATTTTATTTAGTTTTAATTCTATTTTTTGCAACTTTATGTTGTATTTAAAAAAAAAAAAAAAACACATTTCCAGGTGGAAAAAGGGTCCCAGCGTTCTCGGGCACCTCGCTCTTCGAGCTGGTCAAACTTCACAATTTGTTTTTCGCAAATTCGGTCATAAAGACAATACAAGATGACCTCCTGTCTTCCGCACTGTTTGCGGTCAGCTACAATTTGGGAGAGGTGAAGCGGAGCGTCTGTGGAGGGGGCGGGACGTCTGGAGCCGAGCTATTGCATTGCACTCATTGCACTGATTTTGTGCAGTATTTTTTGATGCAACTTTTCTACTTCTGTTATTTGCTGTTGTTTCTCAAAAAAAAAAATGCATAACGATATTTCAGCTTTCACTGATTTATTTCAAATTTGAAACATTGTCTAGCCTGTAAGGTGTGTAAAAAAAAAAAAAAAAAAGCAACAAAAAACAATTAATCGAATCATACTGTATCGTGGTGTATTCTTGAGTATCGAAAATAATTGAATCGTTTGGTCAGGAAATTGATACTGAATTCAATCGCCATGATGGATGTGATTTATACCCCTAATTAAGACCAATACAAACGCTCAATTTTATATGAAGTGTTCTTCCTGATCGAAAACACACTCCTAGAGTGAACTGTAATAATAGATTTTCGAAATTACAATTTTGTTGCAGAAAGTGAATTTTAGGAAGTAAAGCACGTTAGCAACAACAATGTACTGGACTTGAATTGCAATGAAATAAAATAACATTTAAATTTTAAAATGATGAGCACAGGAGAACGCAGAAGTACACGGCGGTTTCTCAATATGTGTACTTGTGTGTTCTCATATGCTCATGTACTGTAAAAACATCATCAGCCTTAGTGTAGTACCGCCTCGTATTAAAATATACATGGACAAAATTGTTCTTGATCAAATGTCATCAAATCCACAGGATTTATCGTTGATGAAGAGGGAAATAAACGCAGTTAAAGAGTTGCAGGTACATTTATTTCTTCCCATGTTATGGAGGGTGAATTTAGACTATAATTTAGAAGGTTTTCATGTACGTAATCCAAAACTGCCGGCACCAGGATAATAAAAGCGAACATGTTTTGTCAGCAGATTTTGGCATTTCAAGTTAATTTAGGCGTTAAACTGTTTCAGAGGAGTGATCATGGCGCTCTTCATCAGCAGCGCTGTGTCTGTCTCCCTGCCAGCTCCCAGATCAGCTTCTCTGATTGGTTGATGTGGTGCGTCGAGCAGCAAAAGTTCAATTTTTCCAACCCCAGCAGGTGCTGCTTCTGAAGCGCATCGAGCGCATCAGATTCTCAGAAGCTCATGATGCGATGCTCCTGCTGCTCAAAACGCGCTGCAGGACCTTTTCCTCCGCCTTGATGCTCGCCAACCATTGACTTTCTATGTAAACTAGCAGCTCCTGCTGCCTTTGCTGCTTTTGGTGTGAAGTTAGCATTAGCGTTTTCACCTATCTAATCCAAACTGCAGGCACCAGGATGAGAAGAGCAAACATATTTTGCCGCCAGGTTTCGGCATTTTAAGTTAATTTAGGCGTTAATAAACTGTTTCAGAGATGTGATCATAGCGCCCTGCATCGGCAGTGCTGTGTCTGTCTTCCTGCCAGCTCCCAGATCAGCTTCTCTGATTGGTTGATGTGGTGTGTTGAGCAGCAAAAATTTTATTTTTCCAACTCCAGCAGTCGCTGCTTAAAGGAATAGTACACCCAAAACATGATTAGCCTTCATTTTCTACTCACCCCCATGCTGAACAACACTCTGGAGTACTTTTTTGATATCTCAAATGCATCTGGAGATCTGGGAGGCTTCTTGCTGTCTGCTGACATTCAAATAATGGAGGTCTATGGTGCCCGAGGCAGAAAGGTCCATAAAAGTCCACAAAAAACGTGTCAATATTCCTCCATACTGCTCGTCCAATGTATTCCAAGTGTCCTGAGTGGGTAGCATCCAGAATTTACTCGAAACAAAGTCATTTAGAATGTTTTTAGAGCATAAACAGTAGTGTATAGGATTTCCTGAAAGCGCGCACCCGCGCGTTCACGACGCTACGGAAGCCGGCAGACCAAACCGGAAGAAAGTGCGCATTCAGCGTCTGCTCTGCCAATAATGCAAGCGTAGAAGAAGAAATGTGCTGTTTACCTGTGCAAAGAAAGAAACAACGAAAGAAAAATGTCTGAGGACTTCAGTGTTGAGGAAGAGCATAAGTTCTTTGCCGAGCTGAATGCGCACTTTCATCTGGTTTGGTCGGCCGGCTTCCGTAGCGTCGTGAACGCGCATGTGCGCGCTTTCAGGAAATCCTATACACTACTGTTTATGCTCTAAAAACATTCTAAATGACTTCGTTTTGAGTAAATTCTGGATGCTACCCACTCAGGACACTTGGAATACATTGGACGAGCAGTATGGAGGAATATTGACACGTTTTTTGTGGACTTTTATGGACCTTTCTGCCTCGGGCGCCATAGACCTCCATTATTTGAATGTCAGCAGACAGCAAGAAGCCTCCCAGATCTCCAGATGCATTTGAGATATCAAAAAAGTACTCCAGAGTGTTGTTCAGCATGGGGGTGAGTAGAAAATGAAGGCTAATCATGTTTTGGGTGTACTATTCCTTTAAGCATCCCGCGCATCAGATGCTAAGAAGATTATGAGGCGCTTCTTCAGCTGCTTAGATCAGTGTCTTTCATTTCTTCATTTTCATTGAATGTTTTTTATTCATTTATGCTTTAGCCAGATTCCAGTTATTTCTCTGAAGATTGTGGTTTGGTTTTCATTGAATGAGGCTTATATAAACAGTTTGGTCCATGTTTATATATCTTTCATATTATGCTGACACACATTTCAAATTTCTTTGTCACCTTATCGATACAATGACTTTGTTGTGTGCATAATAAAGATGAAACAATTGACCAGAATTGGTGCGTTTTTCATTGCATATGAGAAGAAAGGAATGTCTCACCATCCCCATTGGGATTCTTTAACAGATTTCTTGCCATAGTTACTGAATAAACATGGGTTTTCAGGACCTGCAGGAAAAAGCAAAGAAGGTTACTCCACAGTAAAAGAAAAACCATAGAATTTACCTATAAAACAATTTGCACTCAATTTCAATAACTATAAAACACCAAGAGAAATCAGATAAAGTCTGTTTAAACTTAAAGGGTCCAACATGGAAAGGCCTCAAGCTGGAATCAAACCCATGATCTTTATGCCACAAGGCTGCAGTGTTACAAATCACGGCAAAATCTAGGGCGCCTTCCAGCTATTTCAATAATTACTTACTGCATACCCAGGACTGCATGAGCAGTCTGGTTCAATAAGACATAAGTTTTGTATTGATAATTAAGGGTGTGAGAAAAATAGATTCTGTCAAATATTGCGAAATTTCATCACATAATATTGGTATTGATTTAAAATCCTGCTGAATGAATCCTTACTGTAAAACATATGTAGGCAAACATCAATGCTCCTGTTTTACTTTGATAAAACTCTTAAACTTTCAGCCACTAGTTGGCAGCGCACAGCCGCTCTGCACCAGCTACAGAAGAAAAAACAAGACCTTCTATAAATTGTGATGTCTGAATGTGCACTCTGACCCCTATGCAAAGGTGCTATAGAGGGGATTCTATAGAGAGTTTCCAAACATCTAGTGGATAAAAAAAGTAGTGGTACTCAAAATTTCCCACAATGCACCTTGAAAAGCACATGCCGTGTATATTCTGCTCCTTACAAGACAAGCAGATATATCTCATAATGCTTTGCAAGAGATCTCCTTGTAAAGCATCGAGTGATTTCTTTTCAATTCAATTCAGTTTATTTCTATAGCGCCAATTAACAACACATGTCATCTCAAGGCACACTACATTTCACCAGATATTACAGTCAAATTTATTAAAAGTTTTCTATCTAAGGAAAACCAGTGAAGGCAATCCCTCACACTAAGCATGCTTGTAGCGACAGTGGGGAGGAAAAAAAATCCCTTTTAACGGGAAGAAACCTCCAGCAGAACCAGGCTCAGTGTGAGCGGCCATCTGCCGAGGCCGACTGGGGTTCAAGGAGACAGAAGCAGAGATACAAAAGGCAACTGTAAAAGACTGTAAAAAAACAAAAAACAATGGTGTAATTTTGCTACTTTTTATGTAACCAATTAAGGTTGGTTTATTGTCTTATAGTGACAAAAGTTGACATCAGCACCTAGAAACAGGTTCACATGCGAGTAAGAGAGAATTTGCATGAGCACAAAAAGACACGGGGTGCAGAGACCCTGAATTTTTGTGGTTGTGACATATAGAGGGCCTCAATTGCATGAGGAGAGTTGTTTAAAAGCATGTGTTTTTAATAAAACTGCTCATATCGGTATTTTTGATGTGTATGCACTTTTGGAAGAATCCTGACTCTCTACCAATTTATGCAGACCATTTTATGTAAGTTATTAGAATTGGTTGCCAGGGTTCAAATTATGTCCACAGTCAATCCTCAAGGTGTGATATCTGCGAATCTATGATATGCTTATAGTTTAGATCAGAGGTCTTCAAGAGGGGGTCCGCGACCCCTAGGTGGTCCGCCGAGGTACTGTATGGGGGTCGCGAAAGTCTTGGTTGATTACTTTTTTTAATATTCCCTCCTGCAAATTTTTTGCAGTAATTAAAATGTCTTTATATCCACATTAACATGAATTCAATAAACTGTAGCAAACAGATAAATGGAGGCAGAAGATGTCTTTCAGTCATCAATGCACACATTCAGTGACACACAGGAGCTCTTTCAAGCTGGGCACCGTTTCATTCACAACACCTGTCTCATCAACCAGGAATCATAATCAGAAATACTTTAATAATCCCAGGGAGAAATTACTTTCGTTACATCACTCCATATGTAATAGAGTGACTATAGGACCAGTTTGATATAACACAATTTCATACAATATATATAATTAGGGGGTCCCCGCTCCATCTCGCAATCAGTTTGGGGGTCCTTGGCCTCGAAAACTTTGAAGACCTCTGGTTTAAATCCATCTTTGGTTCAGCACACCCAAACAATGGCTCATTGCTAGGACTCTGAAAGATGCAGTCTGGGGCGGATTTACTCATCAGGCAAAACTAGGCAGTTTTCTAGGGCCCCAAGTTCCTGGGGGCCCAATAAACTCATTTTAAATGTGTGGTTAATACAACTATTCCTCATTTTTGCACAGTAATTATCTTTTTGATAAAAATCCTCTTGTTAAATTGCCATTAGAACACTTATAATATTAAGTGTGTCTCAGCCCCCCTCTTTACATGTTCAGAAAGCTCCAAACAGACAGCAGCAAACCATTTGAAAACAAACAAAGCAAAAAACAGTGTTGCCAACTTAGAGTTTTTGTTGCTATATTTAGACACTTTTCAGACCCCTCTAGCACTTTTCTTTCAAAAAAGCGCCTACTGCCAAATCTAGCAACTTTTTTCTGCTACTGGAGACTTTGGCGACAACATCTAAAAGCAGCGAACTCTGCTCTCCAGAGCAAGGCTGGCGAACACCTTCATCCACCAGGCCATCAGAATGCTGAACTCCCTCCACCCCCTCCCCACACGGTCTGCTCCAGCCACCAGGCAGACAGGAAGCTAAGACTGTCTCTCTCTCTCTCTCTCTCTCTCTCTCTCTCTCTCTCTCTCTCTCTCTCTCTCTCTCTCTCTCTCTCTCACACACACACATACACTGTACCAGGGACGGCACCTTACCTGCACTACCTCAGCCTGGAATACACTTTCGCTGCTGCTTTTATTGCTTTTATTGTAATGTCTATACTCTTTATCTATCTTATCTTCTTTTACATGTTGAATGTTAAATATTGAATGTTAATGTTAAATGTCATATGTTCTTTGTACTGTATTTATTATTGACCACTTATTGTTACCAGTCTATCACTGTTACCTGTCATTTCCCGCACTTTATGTCAGTCTGTAAAATGTCAGTCTTGTATATGTCTTGTCCTGGCATGGTATAGAGAGAAAACGTAATTTCATTTCCCTTGTATGTCTTGTGCATATGAAGAAAGTGAGAATAAAAACTGACTTGACTTAACTTGCTTGGAAAAAATCTTTCATTCCTTTTGAGACAGCATGAAAAGTACAAAACAGAGAGAGGAAAACAACAAGAAAAGGGACAAGAAGAGAGGAACAAAACCTAGAACAAATAATGGATGTCTATTCTATTAAAATCTCTGTCTGTGTAATGGGTCTGTTTTATGTACTGTCTTCTCAATTCAGAGGGCCCCCTGTCCATCTTTGCCTAGGGCCCCAAATTTCTTAAATCTGCCCCTGGATGCAGTAAAGGTATTTCAGTCAGCTAGGCTGTAATAAGGAACTAAAATTGGTCACTCCTGCAAAATATCAGCAAATAACAGTTTGGTTTTAACCTAGACTGTTTAACATGAACTCATATAATCTGGTGCTTGAACAGATTCCAAAAACGAATATCTGGTATGCTGACTTACTGCACAGCAGACAGGGCAAAAGCCAAGCTATTTACTTTCTGAATAGGAGGTATCACATAGGATAACCCAGTATTTAGACAGACCGCTCTCAGTCGGACAAACAGCTGAGGGTTGACTGAGCTTTTCATCTATTACCAGCACCATCAAATGTTCCAACGATTGAAAAACCTTTCATACAAATTTCTCCAAATGTCCCCCTATAGAATATAACTGTTCTGCAGTCCTGTCAATAGTGCATGGTTTATTGAAGCTTGATTTGAACTAGTCCATTTACTTTATGTTTTATCGTCCACATCAAGGATATAAGGAAAATGCTGACTCATCTACCACTTACTAGGGTCAAGAAAAGAAGGCAGTCTATTAACACACATCAAGAAATAATAAGCTTTACATTGTTTAATAGGTTAAACTACTAGGTGTGTTACTTACAGTCAGAAAACGAATAACCTTCTGTTTCCTTTGGCTCCCTCTCTTGTCATCTGCAAAGCAGCTCCCTCAGCAGAGAGGCTTTTATAGGCTGCAGATCAGTACACAGGAAGAGGGAGTTGCAACAGAGCCAGCAATCAGGAACTGCGGGTCTGGCTGTCCAGAGCATCAGCAGATTGCCACATGCATGAACTCAGCACAAATGCAGACATGAGCACAGCAGCTTCAAGTAAAAAACAAACAAAAAAAACAATACCTTACCGTAAATCTTTTAATATAGGCCGGGGCCTTTATTTCACTCGGGTACATCTTGGTCCAGGACATTATTGGAAGAAGGCCAGAATTAGAGGCAGGCCTCTATTTCTATTTGATCAAAACAGACTACCAGTGGAATGAATAAAAACGAGATTTTGTGTCTCTTTGAACCTATAAAACACTAGGTTCATTTATTGAAAAAGTACAGTTACCATAAACGGTATACAGAACATTATTCAGACATCTTCCAGCAGCTGCAATTTTTCTGCACAGCAATACGAAGAAAAAAAAAGACACAGAAAGGAATCTTGGCCAAACTGATTTGCGTAACAAAGTTTTTTTTAAAAAGCAATCGAAACAGCGAAATTGTATTTGAGGCAGGCTAAGTGGAAGTAGGCTACCAGCAGGGCCGGTTCTAGCCCTTTGGTTGCCCTAGGCGAGATTGAGTTTTGCGCCCCCCCCCTCACTTTTGCCGTGCGAAATACCAGTACTGTTTTCAGCATCTGTTTAGTGCTTCATTGAGTTGTGTTTACAGTTCCACAAAGAGTGCTGTGCGGTGAATTGTGCCTACAGTTGTGCAAAGTTTGTGTTACAAAATTGCAAATTGAGTGCAAAGCAGTGTTTGTTCTTTTAGTTTTGTGAACTCAGTGAGTGGATTTGCTATAAGTATTAATAGTTTTAGAAATTGTGCTATAAGAATCAAGGTTGTGTTTAAGCATTCAGAAAAAACTGTAACTTAGCATGGAGTGATGCATAGACAAATACCAGAATAGGTTTCAGTACCTTTTCTTTTTTATTATTTTAAATAATTTATTACACACTCAAAGTTAGGACTGTGCAAAAACACTTTTAACCATCTGTAAGGACACTTAGGTAAAGTTTTACCAAAAAAACTGGATTGAATCATTGAATTAATTTTTTTCAGACAATTAACAAATTTAACACACATTAAACAAATATTAAATAAATCAATTTCAGAAATTACCAAATAACAATAAAAAATAATAAATTTAAGAAATTCTTCAACCAAGGACTACATAAAAAAGTAATTGATAAACATTAAATTAAATTTTCTGTTCCAGTTCAATTAAATCATTTGAACATAAATAGAAATGAGATAAACAAAATTTTCCTCTAAATAAAAAATATCAGGTATATTTACCCTGATTTCTGACATTGATTAGTGATTAAAGAAAGGATTAACCCTCTACAAACAAAAGTGCTTTTATGAATACCATTACAAAATTAAAAGTTTGAAGTTGTTGTTTTTTTTTTTTGTTTGTTCACATATTCTATGATGAACAGCCATAACTTCATATAGTTTGATGATTATTTGTACATCCCTTTTGAATACTCAATGCAGATAATCACTACAAAATATTTTATTTATATTAGTATCTTCTACCCATTCTTAAGCTAATAATATAGCACATAATTCTGCTGCATATATACTGAGAAAAAAATTATGTCAACATCAGGGATGAGGATCGTTAATATTTATTGATATCGATACCTTTATCGATACTCCTTATCGATCCGAGTCTTTATCGATACCACTATCAATACTTTTCTGTTATTTGGTGGAAAGACGATGCAACAAATTTTTTTTAACAGAACTGGTATTGCTTCTATTGCTTAACAAGTGAGCATAACAAAAACGTTTCTAGCCTTCAATAAACATGGCTAATGTAATAGGCCACTTCGAAATGACATAAAACTAACTAGAATATATTTTCACAATTGTTGGTTAATGTATTGTCTACTGTCACTTTTCATCATGTTTTTAGTGATTAGGAAAATATTTAACAAATAAATAATTGTATTTTAAATTAAATGTAATTTTTAATAAATGTTGGCATCAGTAGTTTAATTATATATAGAGCAATATACAACTGTATTACTCATGTTTCTCGCCAAAAACAAAATTTCCCGTTTTCTTTACGTTACACTTGAACGCATCATGATAACCTAATTGTCGTTTTACTGAGCCAATCTGAACACATCATCACGCAGCACGTCTGAAACTTTATTTACTTTTCAAGATAACTAGCTTGTATGCTTCCGATTACAACACGGATTTCACAATTAATATTTTTAACTGACCGGACAAGCTACAAAGTCTGTGTGCGCTTACCAGTGGTACTCTGAGTGGATGATGAAGACGGGCCGACTGCAGCGGCCGGAGGAGGAGGAGGAGGAGTCTTTTCCGTTCAGCCATCTTCGAGTCGCGAGCTAAGTTAACTGCCAGACTTCACTTGTTTTACTTTTAATATCTGTTTGCTTACAATTTCATTCCAAAATATTGGTGTACATGCTGCAGTGATTGACGTCACGACTTCCGGGTTGGAGGGCGCTTGAAAAGTGATCAGAATCTTTTCCAATTTTCTCTTAAATGTGAAAAAATAAATAAATAAACGGTGGTATATTTATTTGTTCATATTTTGCTATTTATATATACGTAAGGTTAAGTCAAAGTGACGGACGCTTCATAACCGGTTTAATTCCCTTTTTTTTCTAATTCTATGATTAATGGAAAGTAAGCCTAAGGGCGACGCTAGAGGGCGCCCCCAACACATTTGTCGCCCTAGGCAATTGCCTAGCTCGCCTATAGCAATCGCCGGCCCTGGCTACCAGTATCATATATTTCAAGGGAAATTCAAAACAATGAAGGCCAATGAAATTCTTTCATTTTAACCCTGCCTGGTTAAAACCAGACCTAATAATCCCGGTTCCAATTATATCCCAAGTCTGTTTTAATGATTTACCTACGCCGACAGCGAGACCGGCCATTATTAGAGACCCGGCCGCTTATGGAATACAGGCCAATATTAGAGGATTTACGGTAGCTTAATTTCACAGCAGATATTTTTCTTGACAAGTTTAATGATCAGATTAATGCATGATGAACTCAAACAGTAAAATTGTCTCTTGAGCACAATGCCACAGCCTCTTGTATATTTGTTTTTGGAATGAAGTAATGTCAAAAAATGTGTACAGACTTGTATCTGTATCTAGGTACTTCCTTCTTAGATCTCCCTGCTTCTGGAATGAAGTGATGTCAATATTTGTATGGACTTGTATCCTGGGCCGTAACCAGGATTTTTGAAATACCGAGGTCAAATACTGCGATAAATCATACTTGACAAAAAAAAAACCAAACATATATTTTGGAAACGTGCATAAAGAGAGTTAAATCTTTATCATATCCTTTTGTCCCGTTTGCATCAATAGCTTTGAAATAGCAGAAACAGAAATCTTTATTCTTCATAATGCACCATGAGAAATACAACTAACCTCAAAAACAATGTTGTAAACGGGCTGTTTGATTAGGCCTTGGCTACATTGTGTTTCCCCGTGTGCATCAATAGCCGAAGCAGAAATCTGTATTCTTCATAATGCAACATGAGCAACACAACTAGGCTACCTCAAGGAAAATGTAGTACTATTTCATTCTATTATTTTGTCCCCTGTGCATCAATAGTTTTAAGTAGGCTCCGAGTGTAAAATGAAATCCTAGTGACAGTTGCTTGAAATGCTTGCTATGAACAATGAGCATCCTATTCCTAGCCATGCTTTGAATGACATATTTTCTGGCGAAATGAACTCATTTCCTTCTCTCTTTCTTTTCCTCTGATGCGTTGGCTTTCCAAAGCTGAGTTTAGTTTGTTTCAGCGTAGATTTCTTCATCTTGCCTCCATTTCCAGATCCCACCACTAAAAACCGGTAGCCTATTCTTTCGTGGTGTTCAGAGTGCGGATGGCTGACTTTCGCGAAGGAGCTGCGTAATATGATAGAAATCGATGTTGGATGCAATTTCTGCTCAGTTTTAAAATACCGTGATTTTATAAGGGGATTGTGGACTTTATTTTTTTTTTTTTACAAATAAGAATTCATGCTGATCTTTACACCAATCAAAGTCAGAACAATTTTCATTATACAGTTTGAAATGTCTCTGAATAAAAACAACAACAACAACAAAAAAAAAAAAAAAGGGAAAATAGCGACGCCATGACCTCGGTGTTCTCAATGCTAGTTACGGGGCTGCTTGTATCTGTATTTAGATACTGTCAGGAATCCAGTTTTTGTGGGGTTGTTTCTGTGTTTCCTTTTTTCCTCCACCAGGTGGTGCCCCGTCCTCATTGGGCCTCCCTGCACACCTGCAGCTCGTTGCCTCATTACCTGTGGAGTGTTCTTAAGCTGCTGACTGCCACTACCTCGGGCCCAGAGTGTTTGCCAGTTTGGGGTACTCTGGCCATGCTTAGTTTAGCAGAATCTAACCTGAGTTTTTGTTTTGCCAGTTTGGGGTACTCTAGCCATGCTTAGTTTAGCAGAATCTAACCTGTGTTCTTGTTTTGCCAGTTTTGGGTACTCTAGCCAAGCTGAGTTTTGCTGAGTCAAACTGAGTTCTTGTCAACCTGAGTTTTAACATTGTTTTGTCTTTTGCCTCTCGGCAGAAAGTCATCCTGCAAACTGGATTTTTCGGACCTTCTCTCCCTGGAAGGATCAACTGAGCTTTAAACTGAGCTAAGGATTTAAACTGGAGGTTTGAGTCAACCTTTCCACCAAGAGATCGTTTGAGCTTCACACTGAGCAAGGGATTCATCTCCACTACAACCCGTTCGAGTACCGCAGGAAATCTGAGTGGCAGTTAGCCTCTCCGTTCAACAAGGAACAACCGCAGTCTGAGTAAACCCTGCCCACGCAACTTCAAACAAGACACTAACTGGAACATCCCACACAGACTGGATTCTATAAAGGACACCTTTTGTTGGAAACATGAGTCTGCAACCTATTCCACCTCTTCAAGCCCAAGAATCTAATTTCCCATTGAGCCTGAACTAACCGCAGTGTCTTCCCCTCACCTTTCGGTTCCAGTTGAGCAGTGTTCAGAGCAGCACTG